AAATTCGTATGTAACTTTCAATTTTCTCAAAGTTCTTGCCCCCTCCTAGGCTTAGTCCTAGCGGATGCCCCGTATCTTACGATAGCGTCCATTTGATGCACTTGCCGCAAGTTCCTATTAATTGGGCCTTAACTGTCTTGTCTTCAATTGTCTATACCAGATTTCAGGACCAGAATGGTCCTACCGAGTAATTTATAATTAATTAACAACTGATTGAAGCAGCCTCCATCCGACTATCCATATTGCTCATTTGAGTATAAGAGACAATTCGATCACTACGCATGCCGTCACCATCGCCAGCCCCTCTCATTCAGTCAGGAAGAGCCCAATCGAGCGCAAACATCGGGCCTGTGAAATGGAGACGATACGGCGCCGCGAGGCGGGCACCGCGATGCGACGGTGCGGCGTCGCGCTGTTGACCGTCTTTGCGGCTGCGGCTGCGGTGCTCGCTGCTTGACTGGCTGGTTGACGACTGCTATCTACCGCCATAATGACACTTGAACAGTGTAATCGCATCAGGTTACCGTATTCTTTTGTCGTGAGCTCGCGGCGGGATCAACAGTGCGCTGGCGGCATCAATGTACTCACAGAAGGATTCTCCGAACGATCAGCTTTTAGAGTAGCTTTTAGAGCTTTTAGAGTGGCTACAGTGATAGGGTACGGTAGCTTAGGGCAGGATACGGAATTTCTTACAGCTTATCCGAACTTTTCAGAACCATCCCCTCAAACTGAGTTTAGTAGACTTAATAATAAACAATCAGATTGCAAGAACTCATAAGCAACCAAACAAATCCCTGAACGGGTCGAAGAGCTCACCTGCGTTTCGGAAAGAGCCAGTCGATTGGCAAGTTGCTTTCGTTCCGTTCCGACCACATAGTGATTACCTTCGAAACGCGCGTTCCAATTGTAATAGTTGCGACGGTGAGAAAGCGGTTCGAATTCGTTTACTTTTACGAAATGGCTGTAGAAACAGACCGGCGGCGACTTCACCTGAAATTACGGAGTTAAGCAGTAGCCTACGATTGAATTTTACATCTCTAATTCTTCGTATCCCACCTATAATGAGGGCATTCTTGGCAATCACATTATTTTTTTTTTTCAGTTCAGATTCACGCAGCAAGAACTTGTTCGTACCGCTGCCCTTACGTATATAACCGCCTTAAATATCTATTTTGAGGAGCATAGCCTCAATTACTGAAGTGCACATGGACGAAAAAGAGCGGTGGAATGACAATGGAGCGGGCAATGGATCAACGCCAATGATTGCCTGGTCAGGCCAGATAAATTCCGTCCGCGTTCCCGACTGGAACGTAATAAGTTTGGTGTCTCGCTGAGAAAAGTCTCCTGAAAAAATTCGTCGAGATTGGAAGTTTTATTGTCGGTATTATTCTATGTGTCATACCCCGCTTGGAATTCTCAGAACAGCTTCTTCTTGATGCAACATAACCACTAACCACCTTACTTAACGATAACCTCCCTTTCAAAAAGCGAGAAATGTCGGGTGCAGACAACACCACAACTGACGACGGCCTCCAAGTAAATCTGGTTAGAAGTTGTTCATAGTGATAGCTGATTTCTGGTAAATGATAGTTGTAATTAGTGACAATCGATAGAATACAACTGCAACAGGCTAATCATTTCATTGGCAGAAAAAACATTAACATTTTGTGAAGGCCGTCGTCACTTGTGGTGCATGGTCTGCACCCGACACTTTCTCGCTTTTTGAAGGAGGGTACACGCTTTTCTCGTGGCTGGCATGTCACAGGTTTCAGATTTTCATTATACCTTTTCATTTTGTATCTAACATTGTGACTCTCAAAATGATTGAAATGAGATTTTGATACTCTTGATGTTATCTTGTGCTGGATGTGCTGTCGAAAGCCAAGTCCGGGACAAAACTGATGTATTATTGCACTTGTAAGTGAAAGTGGAGCTGTGAAGTGCGACGCTATCAAAGGAAAAACGGGGAGAAACCGTCCCCGTGGCCCCAAAATAAAACATCCTTGCCGTCTAAGTAACAAGCTAAAAGCAAAATAGCGCCAAAATAAGTGTTCGACCAAGGTTGGGCGCGGCCAATGCTGCATCCTAGGGCCTTAGCGTCTCGGCCCTGTCAGGTCATCCCAAAAGTTGTGCACATGCTTTCCGCTTGCGCACAGCAGCACATTTCTCGTGGAAAAGCACAATTTCGACCAGAAGTCTTGGACGGCGTCTAAAGCGAACTTGGAACTATCTCTGGCTGCGCGGCCCATCAAAGTGCACGTGTTAAACCACATCGGAGCAGTGGGATTTCTCCAAGAGCTTAAAGTCACTTCTACCGAAAAGCTGGCCTAGTTTAGCCTTACCCAAGACCGAATCGCGTTAAAAAGAGTTGGTCATGAAGACAAGGATGGGTAGTGGCGAGAGTAGAGTAGAAAAAAATGTCCAGTAAGACGATAGTTAGCGTTTAGCAGTGGAAGACTCACTATAAACTGTGATAAGACGCCGATTGTGCCTCAAAAGCCTCTCCGGTTCCCAAACACGCCCACCTTTTGGAAGGAATGGTCTATGGCAATAAATAATTTAGCTATAGTCACGGCTTGCAAGTACTGCCAGAACGATAGTTGCTGAATTGACCCTAGCCGTTCTCGAATCATGTAGTATAACCGCCACTAATGTAAGAAGTGCATCTCGCCCCACTATCCCAAGTCAATGACGGAAATAAACTGTTCATTCGGATTTGAGACTAGTTGAATTTCCTAGCTATATGGTCACTTAATATATTTGCACCGTTGTAACTTTTATTGTATGCAGCAAGTATTAACTTAATCACGAAGGTCCCTTTAAGTTCTAACCTGTGCACTCATAATATCATTAAAAAAGTGGTTACGAACAGAGGCCACTTAAACGCCATTCCCTTATTCCCTACGTGAACGTCACATATGATGAATCGCCCGCTGGTGCGGTGATTCGGGTTTATTTCTGAATACCTAACTATTCATATTTGGATGAATACATAGTCAAAGGCTTCCCGAAAGCGATCCGTTCAACGCGATGTCGGACGACACTGAGCAAAGGGATTCTTTTCCGAAATCTATACGTAACTATTATAGAATGCTGCTTCCAAAGGTCGAACTAGTAAACCAATGATGACATTAGGATACGGTACCCTGATCATTCAAGAACAAATCGTCCATGTGGTTTTTGCCCCTGAAAAGAAGTTCAAACAAAGACTACTTGACACTTGGTCCCTTGACCAACTGAGCAGTTACCGTATCTGAACACGCTGGCTGGCTAATCCGGGTTGAGATCGACTTGTCACCGGGAACAGCATCGTCAGCAAATACGAAGCCGATTACAAAGGCACTTAGCCTCACTAGGGTAATGTAAGACACTTGAGCCGATTTGTTTGCACTCTTGTTAGCATACAACGAATAGGGTGGATGGATCCAAGTGGTTATACTTCAGCTTTGATTTTTAAACATCTAAAACGGCCGGGCTAAATATCCAATTGCGACGACGGGGCTGGTTTTTCCAGTTATTGATTGCCGCTCTCCTGCTTGTTCAATCTACCGTACTTCTCGCTTTGCGACTGAACAATAGCCGGTCTATTGGAAACGCGACCGAATCATTTCTCATACTTTTCACATATGTTACCCAAACCAATCAAAAATCTGCCTAAAAAATTTGGATTTTGTAGGGATAAGCGAAATAAGCCCAGATACTGATTCCAATTTGGAGTTCTCAAGCACTCATTAAGATCAATGATACGAAAATCTCGAGCAAAAACGTAAGGATGTTCAGCATCGATTGGCTCTGGAATGCGCCATGTACTCGACCACATTGTAAAGTCACAGGTGCATGACAAAGCGCTTCGGCCTGCACGATGTTAAAAGTGGCTCATATGATGTTCAATTTCACCGCTTTTATTGGTCCATTCACTAGGTACCACATGGGTGACCACTGGGCTTTGAAAGGGCTTGTTTGACTTGGAAATGAGAGTGATCCATTTTTTTTTGGATCGTGCAATGATGTAGTGGAGCTGAACTGACTAACTTTTAGCTGTTACAAAGTTTCCCAGACACAGCTGATAAACTCAAAGGGATTGATACAGCTTCAAGTACAAGAAAGAAAAGTAGACAGAGAGAAAAAAGATACATAGATAAAGATAGAATAAATAGATAAAAATGGATGTGAAATATGTACGCAAACAAAAAAACTAGGCTACAGGCCAGACCCTACAATTTTGAGTTCACACATTGTAGGAGAATAAAAGAGACAGGGAAATGTGCAGAGAAATTTTCGTTTCTGGGTTTCGCCAAATCACACGAATTGAAAAGCCTTTGAGTTGAGGTTGTCCGCTAACAGTAATCGATGTTTTTTTAGTAATCTTATATGCTGATGATATGATTTAGATATGTAGTATTATTATTTTGTGTATCGGAATATAAAACAGTATCACCATGGCTTTCACTGAATTTCCGAGGGAACAACTGCAATTTTGTCACTTTGGGGTGTTACTATCCTCGAGGTCTACTGTTGAACTATAGTTTCTAGAAACTTTATATTTCAGAAAACTCGGACGCTGCTAATTTAACTCAATCCTCGAAAGTAATTATGAGGCCTGATCTTCTAATTTTATATCCAAACTCATTGTCCTGGTAGACATGAAATCACAACACGGTGTAGACTATACCAGGACGGAAAAGAGGTCGTAGAAAGTGGGGCTTGCTACCACGCGCGTGGTCTGGGGATCAATTTCCTGGGTCGTGAGTCGCCCAACCAACCAAGCCTTCCATCCCTCCGGGGTCGGTTAATTGGTACCAGACTTGTCTGGGAGGATAAAAACACTGACTTGTACATCGGCTGGCCCCCGCAAGTCATTGTATAGGCCACATCGCATTCAAACGCCACTACGAATGTACAAATGGAAGTAGAATGCGTGCCGCATCCCGAAACGGGATTGATCAACGGCAAATTGCTTTATCCTTTGCTTTTATAAACTACACCTCCTGCGCCATTTCCTGCGCACGGAGTAAGGTATGAGAAATAGAAGAAATTTCAAAGCCTTATTGAAAGGTAAGGCATCCTGCGTGGAGAATAAATACTAATAATCAATAACTTTCTACAATATGAGCAGCCATTACTTCTACAATATGAGCAGCCATTACTTTTTGAAGTCCAGTAAACGCTGCATGTGATCTTGACCCAGCGAGGAGGAATGAACAAAGCACTGACAGTAGGGTGGGCACTGGTAGCTCTCGACTAGAGACAAGAGGGATCAGTCGCGCGTACACGATCCAACTGTCGAGTTCCTCCAAGCTCAACGAGCTCTTTCCAAGTCTGTTAAGGTCACCCCCACTGACCGAGTAGCGAAGAAAACCCTAACATCGATGCCGTTCAGCAACACCAGCAGTTTTCGCCTACTATATTCATTGTTGACCCTATAAACGAACTTTAAGTACTCTATGAATCCATGTAGAAACTGGATGCATGGCGCACCAGAATGACTGGATCAAGGGTGCTATCGCAAGACAAGTGAGCATGCTTGAGGATTAGGCCTAGGGAGGAGCAGAAGTTTTGGAGGAAATGAAAACCGCTCACACATCCTGCTTTCTTTCTGACCGCCTAAGGCTCAGTCCCGTTTTCAACAGAAAGGAGATATTTTACGCGTTGTCACAGCATTGCTACCATAATTTCGGATCAGGTCCCGAGTGTACTACAATTCGTCGGTCAAATAGGATAAAAGTAAGCAAAATGCCAACAGCGGTAGGCAGCAACTTGATAGTTTTGCAAAAGTTCTGTT